CATATACTAAATGCTAACTATGAGCGATGTGCCATATACTAATACGCTTTAACTAAATTTACGTAAATTATTCAGCTACTTACGGAACAAGTATCTTTGGAATTCTTTTTTCACAAAAGAACCCGATTATTCGAGTTTTGATTAACCGATGTTTGGCGTTATTCCAGCCCAATGCGACAAAGAAAAACATTGTGAAATAGCCTAGCCCTAAAGGTTGACTATATGCAGATTTTAGGTTTAGCAATAATTGAAACTATAAAGATAATAGCCTCTTCATAACCACGTTTAAGCTCAGTGGCCTGGATTCTTATGCGCTTTGAGTGAAAAATCATATAACATTTAGTTTTTGTGGGTACAAAGGCAGTAAAGAATAAAGATGTGACTGATTAGATGCAAGATGATGATTAATTTGAACTGTCTGCTGAGGCTATTGTAAATTTACGTCACGTACAATGAAAGTCCTGTTGACGAAGAAATGGGAATTGTTCAAACCAATATTGTCACACAAATGGCAGTAACGCTATCAAAACGTCACAGTTGTATGCTAAACAGCTGATATATTATGTATATTGCACAGCACCTCATTTGTATTACAGGTAAGTATTTTGAAATTCATAGTTTCAAGTTCATATTAAAATTTTCTTTGTATCAATACGTGTTATCGAGTTTTTGCTTATCTGAGGTAGATGCGGTCCCCATTAACTCGGATAATCGAGGTTCTATTGTAATTTTATGTAACTGATAAGCAGTGGATGTGCTCCTCCAGGATGTGGACAAGAACGTTATGTTGCGTAACAATATAATTCAAGAGCACCAACAAATACAACATCTATATACCATAACAGTGCTGCCTAAGCATACAAAATGCTGATGAATGCTGTAACGGACAAATCCGCCACTGAATAGTGGTGGATATGGGGTGAAACCCAACTAACCCTATAAATAGACGGTATCCTCGTCCTCCGTCAGCCTTCAACAGTCTTGATTTATAATGAATTTGGACCTAAAATTTGGTAGATGCACATTGTAATGACTTAATTCGTTTAGTTTCCGATTATTTGTATTCGTTTAATTAAATTTGATTTAGTTATTTAACGTAATCTCTTTTCATGCATTCATCTATTATACCCACTCTTCCTCTTTTATTCCTTTAATTCCCACCGGTTCAATACATGAGCTTAGGCGAATAATTTCTATTTTGTGAAATATTTAATTCTTAAGTACTAAGTCAAAAATGTCAAAAATTATGAGTATTTTTTATGAAATTTATTTCTAATCCTTTCAGTGGGTAAAGTAGTTTAGTGCCGAAGTTAGACACTTAATTCTTAAAAACTATTTTATACCTAATCAAATTAAATGGAGAAATTTTATCGAATAAATAGCTTACTTAAAATAACCATTATTTTAAGAGTGAAAATAAATTCCACTGAAACAACATTTTTATGAATTTAACAGCATCAAGGTATTCAAGCTACCTGCATTTTGATACTAGGACAATTGTAGAGAGTTCCGATAAAGCTTCAGGAAACTGTCATATATGATAATAATAATAATAATAATAATAATAATAAAAAGGTAACGGAATTTAAGAAAGTTAGACTAACAGAGGGGTTTCAAATAATTTTTAAAAAATATTTTCTTTTTTAGTTTCTTTTTTAATGGGAAGCTAATCTCGCAAAAATATGCGACGGAAATATGAAAATGTAGAAGTCGAAACCAAGAACAGGATGAAAAAAAATCTTGTTGATTTCTTTTTATAGGGATGTTTCAAGTTAACAGGACTAAACTGTTACAGTCAAGTCGCATGCTAGAATTGATTAGAGAAGGTAACTGTCAATATATATTATAAAGCCATTATATAAAATTTTAAATGTTACTCTTAAATAAAAAAAAAAACAAAATTAAAAACGGTCAATTTATAAGACAAATTTAAAATTGTAAGATAAAATGAATGAACTTTATTTAATTTTATTAGTCCAAAAATATTAAATATTGCTCGTTGCGATTTCGTGAATCATTATAACAGGATCACTTTAAACTGTTCCACCAAATGTTAGAGTCCTGCATTATATTTGAAGAAATTAAATAATAAAAAAAAATATGTATATTTCTCGCATTGAGTTTTGAATGACGTAATCCACCTACGAATATGAGCATGTGGAAGACCTAATTTGAAATTTGTTTTAATATCGATTTTATATTTTTAACAATTTTATGGAATTTTTGAGTAACAAACTCAACGATTTAAATGCGTGCAATGGCAACACTCTACGGGGGGAAAAAACCTTTTTATCTTTAGCGAGCGAAACTGTGTATCGGAAAATCTAAAGATATGATCATTTTAAAATTATTTTACGATATTACTATTGAACTAAATTTAAAGTTTAAGTGCAAAGAACATGATATTTAATAAATAAAGTAACACAAAAAAAACGTTAAAAAAACGCCCTTTTGGACGTAACATAAAATCGGAAACCTTTCAGATTTATTTATTTATTTATTTTTTGTTATCTGCTTCGCTTATAGAAGGTATTAAATATTGCGTTGTTCTTTAAAGCACAATTCTTCAATGACCTTTGAAAGGATAATTTATTAAAGAAAGGTGACATTATCATTTTTATCTCGCAATGCATCCAACCATTTATGTCGAAATTAGAGACAGATAAATTAAATTAAAAATTTAAGTAAAATTTGAAAATTTGAAAACTTTATGGTGTTTAATATGTTATCACATAAGATAAAATATTGTTGCGTGCGTACGGGTTCGTATTAAATTGAATGCACAAGTCTGATGAAAAGTTAATAAAATTTATTCTTATCACAAGAGTTAAAACAAAATGCTGAAATTTTTCTTCGCAGATATTCGTACAATATCATAGTATCTCACAGTAGTTATATTTTAAACTACTAAAACGTTAAGTAGAACACAGTTCAAAACGCAGAGAAAGCTAATCCGATCTCACTGCGAATTCGTTATAGTAAACAACAACAGTTATCTAAACAACTGAACTGAGATGTTTTTCTCCGGCTTTTAGAAGCTTTTTAATCAGTCCCGAGAAGCAAGCTTCTTGTAATTTCACGAGGTTTCTGGAAAGCAAAAGAGTAGAATTACAGTTACAGATATCACACAATTGCATTACTTCAATTTTAATATAAATTAGGAGATATCTATTTATTAAATGCGCGTGCTCCTGTATTTTTACTTTTTTCGGCGTAGCTTTCTCTTAAAACTCGTCACGCGCCGTATTACACGGGGAAATAAAACAATTTTATTTACAGTTCTTCCAAACATAGCTAAGTACAAAATCCGTAACGATACCATCAACTTGTTAAATTCTATTTAATTTCATGTTAAAAAAGACCCACTAGTAACCAAAAAGTGAGGGGGGCTAAACAGTGGTAATTTGGCCCGTGTTAACATCCGACGAATATCGATGGTTGCATGGGAAGCTCCATGTGTAACGTCAATATGAGCCAGTTATTCTTAAAAGTGCCTTTCACAAAGGCATCCATCCCTTTAAGAAAGTAGTATTGATGTGCTTTGCTGTAATCAAAGTACCCTAATTTAACCATTTATTTGGCATGGTTGCTGAGAGGTTACATATGTTTTCATTCGCTCTTACAGGAGATCTACAACTCCAATTGCCAATTAAACGATTAATCTCATATTAAAATTTGAAACTATATGACTAGAAATACAAAAATAATTATTTTTATTCAAATATAGCAAAACAGGTTCTGTATGAAGATAAATATATTGAAACACAATCTGTTGCTAGTAAGTTCATTCCACAAAATGATTAAACTATTGTGTTTTCACTCGATTACTATACTGCCAAATCTCTGATTTTATGCAAAAACAAACTTAAACATTTATTTGCCTGTATATGTTCGTTGGCTAGTATCTCTTTTATCTTGTCGCATGATAGGCTAATTATACTAATTTGCAAATTCCAATGCTTTAAAAAAAAGGCCTCTGGGACGCCTTATCCGAGAGCTATTTTTTCCCCTTAGAGATGAAAAAGTAACTGAAAGGAATGCTTTTGCTGACGTTGAAGAGGCTCAAAGAGCCTCGCCAGCAGCATTCCACATGAAGACCTTAGAAAATATGTCCTTCAGTGAAAGAGTTTCTAAGATACTTGCATCCAGTAACGACGAGGGTATACTTTGAATAGGATACAAGTTTCAAACTCGACAGTGTGCACACTGCTTCTAAAATATTTTAGGACTGAATTCATAAAAGGAAATCGATATTTGAAGAAAGCTGCTTGTGAATGTTTAACTTTTTATACACATTTCTTATCCCTGTAGATCTGCTAGTATGTTCATAACACTTCTCTGCGCTTTCGTAGAAGCTAGCTGTTGGAATGTTTTTTTTATTTTGTTTCTACGTTTTTATGAGTTTATAAATGTAATCAGAATTAGATTTACCTTTTAAATTTAGATTTATCTTTAAGGAATAGGAAGTTGTTCTAAAATGCCAGATACAGTGAGAAAGGGTGATTAATGTAAAATACGGTTTATTTGCGATAAAAAGCTGGATGATAACTATCCTGAATGGACAACAAACAATTAACTAATTTCTGGGATGCTAGTCAGACATGCTTTCAATTGCACCACTAAGGCATGCACTGAAAAAGGAGAAAAGGTTTTTACAACTGGATTATGCTTTTCCTTGTATTAAGACACGAATTATTTTCAGAGATCGGATGTCATATTTATTTGTAGCCTAAAGAAATCTGTTGACTTTCTTAAACACAGGTACCTATTCTAAGATATGTGTTATAAGATTAAACTAGATTTATTCTATATAAAAGTCTAATTTTTCTAGAATACTAAACAAAGTTTTGTCTTTTTTTAACTTTAGAAACAAGATCGCTAAGGAAATACTCGAAGTACAGGACTAAATTAAATTAAAAAAATTTTCTTCCACCTCTCGTGGAAGCGGCAAACGAAAACGAATTAATTAATTTAAAATTCCCGTTTATATTTACATTTAGATTCTAGGAATGGATCGACTACTTAAACCTTCTACTTAAAGATATTTTCAAGTAATGACAACTCACCAACTGGTTAAAATAGCGCTTATACCAGACAACATGAAAGAAGTTTCACCACGGCCGGCTGAGGTTACCGATTTCTCTAATCCTAAACTTAGATTCTCAATTCTATTCAAAATTCTTCTCATTTACATATTATGACAGAGAAGAAAATAATAATAAATAAAAATATGTATTTCAATGCAAAATATAATGTGTTAATTTACATAAACCTTCAGGAACAAAATCTTTTACTTCTGGCTGGTGTCAACTTCAACCGTGCGTAAAAGGCTTCGCGAAGGAAGTCTGTACGCGAGGCGGCAAGCTATTTGCACTCGCGTCACGTCATGGAAGGGAACGTTTAAGATGGGCACGCCAGCATATCCACTGGATGGCTGATCAGAGGGTTGTTCTCTTTACGGATGAGTTCAGGTTTAGCCTCCAAAGCGATAGTAGGCGCTATTTGATTTGGAGGGAAAATGGAACTCCTCATCATACATTAAGCATCTTTGAAAGAGATGCATACGCAGGAGGCAGTGTCTGTGTTTTGGGGTGGTATCTTTTTGGGTGGATACAGAGACCTTCATGTCTTCATGTCTTTCTACGTGGAACAGTGAATGCTCAGGTCTACAGAGATAACGTCTTTGATGCTTTATGTGTGCACTTATACTGAGGCCATATGTGATGATTTCCTACTACAGGACGACAACGCTCGACCGCACAGGATGGTTATCGTGGATGGTTAACTTCAGCAGCAAACAATTCAGCGCGTGGAATGGCCAGCTCGATCACTGGACCTGAATGCTATCGAGCATGTTTGGAATGCTTTGTAAACGTATAGCTGCTTTCAGTCTTCTTCAGACCCTTGCCACACTTGCAACTGCTTTGAAAGAGCATTGGTTCTCCACATTGAACGTAATTTTCTTAGACCAAGTTGACACATCCGATTTGTTCATTTTGTACCTATGCTAATTTCTATAACACCGTAATTGTCTGGTAATTTATTTCTATGTTGTTTTACACCTTACTAAGTATTGTATACTGTTAGTCAATTTCATTTAATTCTACATGTAACGTTTTGAGTAATCGTTATTTTTGTGATTTTTTTCTGAATTAATGATAGCCAATGCATTTTACAAAAAAAGGAGGAGACGTATACATATCAGTAAATAAAGTGAAAGAAATTAAAGGTCTGGATCAATGTAGAGCAAAAAGAAGAAGAAATAAAGAAGACGTAGAGAATGATCAAAAAGAAGAAAGCAAAAGTGAAGACGAAAAGAATACATGCTTATTCGGATCATGCAAGTGGAATAAAAAATTTACTTCAGTGACACTGATGTTGAAGAGTTAGTCCAGGCGTGTCAAAATCAGTATCAAGTTGGATAAACAGTTTTCAATGTATAATAGTACAGGCTACATAAAAAAAAAGTAATTTTCCTACTTAATATTACAAGAAGAGAAAACGTGATTAAAAGAGTAAAATCTTTTCTAATGCTGTAGATCTGAATAAAAATAGAAGGTATCAAAGGAAATCCAGGTAATAGATGGATACTTACTTTAGCTTCTCGACACTAGCATCATTTTTCCTGCAACCAAAGCTTTCGGATGTTTGGACACTCGTTAAGCACACTAACAATTTTCAGAACGGAGATAAATATCTGTTAACCTGGATCTCAATAAATGCTTATTTCTTTTAACAGGTAAGGAAATCTGTTCTTTATGATAGATACTACCAATCACGCACAATGTAAAATTTCTGTTTTCTGGAACCGCAAAAGGCAAGTACTTTTAAAATCTAGGGATACTCAGAATCTTTACTAAGTGTTGCGTCGCAATGAATTTCTGTTAATTTCATCTGTAAACGCTCTGCCATTTTCTTATCATCAGGTTAGATTTTGTAAAGTTAATATCTCAATAGTTTGTTTTAGCACTCGAACTGGCATATACGTTTCGATATTTGGTAGAATTCCAATTTCTATTTATATATTATAATTATATATTTTCCGTCACCGGATGGGTCGCAGAAAAATGATCCAAGGGCACGAGTTCGACATGTCTGAACTAGATGAAGATAAATAAAATTAGTTTGAATAGCAAAAGAACAAAATTTGCGAAATTCGAAGGATATGTACTGTTAATAAAGTAACAGTATTGTTAATAAAGTAACATTGTGGCTTCGTTTTCTAATACCCGATTATTGTTAGTCCAAAGGGATTTGAATCCCGAAGGACTATTAGTTTCGTTTTGGCATTTTGCGTCGGACTCATAAATGTCGGTTCACTTTTCAAACTGTTGCCACAAAATGTTAGAGTCCTGCATTATATTTGAAGAAATTAAATAATGAAAAATCTGCGTAAATGTATGTATATTTCTCGCATTGTCATAAAATAACGGTACATAGAGTCATCGAATTTTGAATAACGTAATCCTCCAACGAATATGAGCATGTGGAAGACCAAATTTGAAATTTGAAATTTGTTTTATGATCGATTTCCTATTTTTTAAAACTTTGACGAATTTTTGATTAACAAACTCAAGGATTTCAAAGCGAGCAATGGCAACGTTGTGCAGAAAAAAACATTTTTATCTCCAGCGCGTGAGTCTCTGTATCGGAAATTCTAAAGATATGCTCGTTTTTTAAAATTATTTTGCGATATTGCTGTTGCACTGGATCTTATGGTTTAAGTGCGAGGAACATGATATTTAATAAAGAAAGGTAACACACAAAATGTTAAAAAACGCCCCTTTGGACGTAATTTAAAATCTGAAACATTTCAGATTTTGTTTTTAAGAATTTACTCTGTACAATCATTAGGCTTCTCAAAGGAGGAAACGGGAAAAATGTGCAATGCTCTCTCCGGTATTGGAACCATGCCTTTCCAGACTGGACTGCCAGCTGGACGTGCTTCAATTTACACCCCGAAGGCACGCGATAAGAAGGCAGAAAATACTTTACAAATTAACTGTGCCTGTAAATAATGCAACAGGAGAAAAACTTCCACTGTTTTTAATCCAATACAAATTATTTAAAAAACTCAGTAGGACAGGAAGGAAAACAGTACTTGCTGTAGAAAAAGGGGTTCTTAAAATGTAAGCTTGCAAAAGTATCACTAACCATTTTCCGAAATAAAAATTAGAAAATGGAAAATCATTGAAATTTTTAAAGAATGATTAGTAACTATAATTGTATGTAATTTTCCTTTAGCCAGATGCTTTTATTATGCAATCACTAATGAATTACTGTTTGTACTGGTGCTTGCGTACGGGTTCGTAATAGACTGAATGTACACAGGTCACATAACAGGTTAATAAAATTTCTGTTAAAAGAAACATTTCATAGTTTCGGAACTTTTCCCCAAAATACCGGTACAGCTCTTCACAGCATCATGGAGCGCAATCGATAGTTACACTTGAAACTGCTATAAACGTTAAACACAACAGAATGCAAAGCGCATCTGGAAGGCGAAACTCCCTCTCCGGTCTTATATAGTTTTCACACGGCCGCTGAGATATTTCTATTAAATCCTGCTTTTCGGAATTACTGGTAGGCATATGAGGGCTACATTGAATTACAGTTATTCAATTGCAATAAGGATTACTGTGATACAGGAACCGGACTAAAATGTCGCCAAATGGTCCCACGTGTGGCGACGTTTGGAGATTTCTCGCCAGATTAGAGAGCTAACCATTTACTCAATGCTAAATAAACTTCTCCTGTATTCTTATTTTGCTTCGGAAGAGCATCTTTTTGCTCAGCTTTTCATGCTACATTACACAGAAAAATACAATAATTTCACGTATAATTTTACTAAAATTCTCTATCTGTGTACAAAACTCGTAACAGTATTCTTTACTACGCTGCTTGATCAGTATATTGGTTAGCGTTGCTTGCAGCCTTATAATTGGACCTGTGCTCAAATCCCAGAGGAGAAATGGATGCTTTCGTCTTTGCAGCATGGGGGCGTTTAAAATACACAGCAAACCCAAAGTCCTCTTCAGTGATTTGTTGTAAACAGATGAAGGATGGAGGACTCTCAGTCCCGTGTTCTCGAGAGATTCTTTTTCAAAAATGGGAAGGACTTGGAAAAAGTCGTATAGTTACTTGTACGGTGATTAAGGCCCACGTCAACGACAAGCGAAATCCTACTGTTCTCGCCACGATAAACGTCGTGGGCTTGATCTGATATTAGTGCCAGACACGTCACAAGCAACAACCTTCTATATCATTAATAGGATTTGTAAGTGATATTATTTAAGATTCATTAGAAATACCTTCCGTAGCAGAGTACCAATCTTTAATTTTATCTAGGGCACCTGGAGGCTTAATTCAGCACCATAAGCAGATAAATCAAGTGCTATTCTTAAATAAAATCTAATTTAACAGCTTTAGACCTTGAATTGAAAAGAATGATTAAAAAACAGTTCACATATTCGGAACAGTAAATGCAGTGAATTGAGTTAATTAGAAAATACTCCACTTCTATAGTCTTGTCACGTTTCGGAAAAGGTTAGCTGGAAGATTTTTATTGAATGAAGCTTCGGAAATGTTAGAGCCTCGTTACACTGGAACTACTTTTATTCAAGCTCATTGCTTGTTAGTTGCTTACTTCTGTTATTAGAATTCAGATCTTCTCAATGTAATTCATTTAAATGATAATTACAAATGCGCCTTTACTAAAGGTACAATTAAATCATTTCATGCTACATTTGAGAATGTAATTCTCGAGACGGTATAAAAAATAAAAAGGGAATGTCATTACAAATCACATTTAATAAATGATATATTGGAGATGCAGAGACAATTTTGTTTCAATAACGTGTGGGGTGGATTGTTGCTGTAATGATCAAAGTAAGTTCCACAGAATACATGTTTTCTTAAAATACAGGTACACGCTTCGTAATACTTTTTTTATTAAAATACATATTTAGCTTTTGTAAAATTATTTTGCAACGCATTTAAAAAAAATACTAATCTGGAAACCCTATTTAAATGTAGAAAGTGAAGCCAGATGATTTTCTGCTTGAATGTTAGACGTTTTAGGGAGTTAGAAACATACATTATGAATAGATAATTGCATTAAATCTTCGTAAAAATTGC